CGTTCAAATCCCAACTCCAACAACCTCCCAGTCGACCCCAACAACCTCCCTGTCAACACCAACAACCTCCCTGTCAATCTCAAAAACCTCCCGGTCAACTCCAAGATACTTCTTATCAACTCCATGAACTTCTCGATCAACTGGTTACTGGTCTAGTTTCTCCAACTGTCCCCGGGGATAATCCACTTTTCTTGTGTCTCTCTTGAAGTCTGAGCTCCATGTTTTCTTGATCTGACTCTCCTTACTTTATCACAGTGATTCCAGATGTGGATCTGGCTAAATATGCTGCTCGCCTGCTTGTGGAAGTTGACTCGGGATAGTGGGGCGAGAACTGAGGCCAAAGACAGCCAGACAGTCTTTGTCAAGATCTAGTCTAGGGACATTTTCTCAGAGAGACAGCTAGGGAGCCTAGCTCAAGATGAAGTTGTTTGGGGTAATTTCTCCGCAGCCTTGAAAAAAAAAAATATTTTCCCGAGCTTTGCCAGTTTACAATTTGACCTGGGTTGACTCAACGTCATCACACAAAACACAGCTTAGAACCTGTTTTAATCTAAGCGCTGTATTACGCCAACATTGGACTGCGCCATCCATCACCATGAGCTGATCAATTGTTTAGTTGTCAGCTTGTCACATTGTGACACAACCTGTCACATTACACGCCACAACCTGTCACTGCCCGCCTTATATAACCCCTCACAGAGAGATGCCCGTGTTTGTTTTCAATTAGAAAGTCATCAACTTTCTCCGGTCCACGTCAAAGTAGTCCAGTTTTTATTTAATTGGATGTAAACCTAATTAAAATCGTGTAATTAAAGTGCTTAACCATTTTTCTTAAAGGACATAGTTGTTGTTTTTTTGTCTTCATTTTTGTTAACTCTAAAGGTTCACGATTCACTCTCCTGTGGTTTATTCTAGTATAACGAACAAGGCAACACATATAAGAGTTTTGAGCATTGTTTCAAATATATATCCTAAATATCCTGCATAGATAGAAACATATGAGGTTACTTTATAGCGCACAATGTAAATGTATTATTTAGCACTGTTGTGGCTCTTCGAGGAATAAGTTAACTCACTAACTTAAAAAACTGTAAACAAGGCCTCATTAGTTGAAACGAAATCCGAGGCATTGATTAGCAGATTAGATGATTATGACGTCACGAGCGGATTGATGGTCCCCTTGATAGCACCCGATAAGATATTGATCTCGACTATTGAACTGCTAATTCTCTTGTTTTTGTCGTGCTGATCTAGTGATGCGCATTAAACATGCGCGTGTGTCATTGAAGGGGAAGGGGACAGGCTGTTCTCCCCGGGGGGGGGGGGGGATGGAGGGAAGGGAGGGGTCGTTGGTTTATTGATTTTCTATCATAGTCATACGTTTTTCAATGCCACAAACTTACTGATTCTACCGTGAATTTCAGCACAACCCTGAAATCTGACACAGACCGTCTCATAATTGTGTTGTTTTTTTAATGAATTATTTTATTCCATTCCGTCAATAATGCAGAACGTCCACCCACAATGTAAACATCAACCACATCCAGATTTATACACCTGCTCGGTGTTTCTTACACCCCCCCCCCCAATACAAACAAAATAGCTGTCCCCACCCTCACAACCAAAAACTACAAATCTACTACAAATCTACTACAAATCCAGTGGCGTAGCGAGGTCGGGTGTCACCCGGTGCGGCACTTAATGGTGTCACCCCCCAGAGGCGTAGTGACCCTTCCCGGGGACAAACTTTCAAATTTTCGATTTGCACCATCCCCCCACCTCAAACTTTCGATTTGCACCCCCCTCCCCCTCAAATTTTGATTTGCACCCCCCCCCCTCAAGTTTTTCTCTACATATTTTGCTATTTTTTGCCTTGGTGTCACCCTCCTAAATGGTGTCACCCGGTGCGGTCCGCCCCCCCCCCCCCCCGCTACGCCTCTGTACAAATCTACTACAAGTCTACTACAAATCTACTACAAATCTACTACAAATCTACTACAAATCTACTACAAATCTACTACAAATCTACTACAAATCTACTACAAATCTACTACAAATCTACTACAAGTCTGCTACAAATCTACCACAAGTCTACTACAAATTGACTACAAACCTACTATAAATCTACTACAAATCTTCTACAAGTCTACTACAAATTTACTACAAATCTACTACAAATCTACTACAAATCTACTACAAATCTACTACAAATCTACTACAAGTCTACTACAAATCTACTACAAATCTACTACAAATCTACTACGAATCTACTACACATCAAAACGTACTCCAGAATGTTTTGACCTTTAAACAATTAAAAAATAAACATAACGCCCATTTTAACCACCCCCCAACCCTTTTCACATGCCCGAACCCCCACCCCATCTGTGTGACGTCATTTGCTGACCACTACTCACTAGAAACGTAGACTTATGACTTAAATTATACCGCAGATCAATTTAACAAAATCTAAGTTTTAATCTACAACTGTAAATATGTATATTGTTTTCATGATTAAAATTAATTTCAAAGTAAAGAAATTGGCGGTACTCACCACAAAAGATTAATATCCTGTCTTTTCCTATCGGTTTTATTTAATTACACTAATTAACGTTCCATTTATTAATTTCCTTCGTAGATACAGCAAGGGAACTAATCCGTCTTGTTGTCTCGACACATAAACATGAAATAACTGGTGGAGTTTAAAAAAAAACCTCAGCACCCAAACATCCGGTCACAAATATCTTCTCCCGCGCTGCGAGCTTGCCTCGCCGTCATTTCGCCTTTTATTCTCCGCTCGATTAGAAATTTTCATTAGCTAAATAATATTTTATAATACCAAGTTGTTTTGCCAAATAGGCTACGTTCATGGGTATTTCAATTTATACAAAAAAAATTCATTAACGTTTAACTTTTAAAAAAATAAATAATCCTTTTGTTTTACTCTTGGAAAGCTTTTTCTAATTTCTCATAATAGGCTATAAATACGACGATATCAAAAGATTTAACAATATAGATATTAACTAACTCCATATTGCGCATTTGTTTCCTACAATGTCAACATGCGATTGCTCTCCCCTGTAGTGTATGCTTTTGCCTAGTTATAGATTATCTCCCGTTCTGCCATTCTTGATGGAGCGAAAGCGAGGCAGAAATCAGCATGCAAAGATTCGTTACGCACGGAAATAGTTCCAAAAACGTCTATTTTCCGATTCAACCTTTTAATTAACCTCGATCTCGAACTGTTATTTACATCGCAAATATTGGGGCGAACAAGTGAACGGGGAGGCGAGCGGTGATTCCACGTAGCAGAATCTCATATGCAATTCTTTTGTTTTCAGTTACAGTAATTTATTGTTGCCAGGGCGAATGACGGATGGGAATAGGGTCAGACTTTAAAAGAATAATTCAGCTATTTTTCCAACCAAAAAAAAATAATCATAAATGTCAATAAAAACAAAAGATTTTAATTTGTTAACTCTAACAGAGTTACCGGGTCTTACTCAACCAGAAGTAGGAAGTTACCCCCTCAACACTTTACCCCCCCCCCCCCCCCCCCCACCCACCCTTCACGAACTTGGCTCCACAATCTAGAGCCACTAGCTCTGATTGAAAATCGACTTGCTATAAAAACTGACACCCCGGGAACGGGCGTCGATATGGACAACGGTTCTCACACATTTCCATGTGGACTCATAGACCTCCCCATGAAATTTTCGCTGGGAGACGGGGCGGGAAGGTGCAATAAACGTGTATACTGTGCGTGTGACACAGGGCATAAACTGGTACAGTAGGCCTACATTAGAGGTAGCTCAATGTATAATTAGTGTGTCTGGCTCATCAACTCAATAAATACGTTGGTATTTATTCATTACTTCATTATGGGAATTCATATAGTCTACATATACGCTGACGGACATACACTCATGACACACATGTATATATATATATATATATATATATATATATATATATATATATATATATATATAAATGCATTTATATATATATATATATATATATATATATATATATATATATATATATATATATATATATATATATATGAATATGATATGCATGTATACAAATATATATTACGAGCCGGCCCGCGGCATAACATACGCCGCTATTTAGTTGTTTCTAATTTTCAATAATTCATAATTTGTGAATTCGACAGTACCAACGCTGACACTGAAAATATTTCTTTAAAACACTATAAGTAGCTCGTTAAGGACCATAACCCCCCCCCCTTTCCCCCCCCCCCCCCCCCCCCCCCTACGTTTAAAATCGTTGGCTCTGCTTGTAAACATTTAGAGTGAACACAGCTCACTAAAACCATGTAGGGGTGGGGAGGTAGGGAGAGCGTTTGCAGCTTGTTTTCTAACGGCTCGAAGAGGAGAATTATATATATAGATGTTACTTGTACTACCGTGCTAACGATTGAGTCCTAATGATAAATGTGCCAAGAACAAAACAGAGACTATACCAACTATGTTGCCACAATATTTTTATTGTGACTAGTGTAGAACGTAAAAAGTGATTTATACAGTTCCCAACCATTCAATGTGAACATAACTTATGTCCGGACTGGTTAATAACAATGAGAGTTAGGTCCCTTGGCATCGTCTCGTAGCTGACTTCCTATTTTACACATTGTGTATGAGAACAGTTCAACAAGTTGTACATGTGCTGAATGCCAAGGTCATTGGTTTACCACAACAGCAGAATGCTAGCATCATTTGTATACCCTCCCATCAAAATTTGTAAAAGGTTGCCTCGACCTTTAAACCATAACTTCCTTGTAATCATGTTTATTTGATCATAATGTAATATTACGTAATGTTTGCTTCTAGGATAGAAAGATAAATCAGGATAACATTTGAATTATTTTAATTTATATTCAAATAAAACAATGATAATCCCTCAATTGTATTCTACATTTGTTTCTAATTTAAATATCCAACCAAACTAAATATTAAATAAACAAACACAACATAACCAGTTTTGTTTACAGTAAAATGTATTGAGTTACATATTAAAATGAACTAAATATGAACAAAATAGAAATGCTAACATTAACCATTAAATTTAAAATCTATATTTACATCAAATGAAAAATTCTGACACAATGAATAAATAGGAGAAAACCAAATCTTCTTAACTTCCAATATAGGAGTTTGAAGACAACAGCTACATACCATACATATGGGTAATGTCCCCTATGGCTATTGGTTAGGACGACTACAACAGAAGAGCAAGCAGGAAAACAGAAGTCAACAAAGTAGTTAAATAGTTTCATTTGCCCTCTAAACTAACATTCATTCCAGTCATTTATTTTGTACTGCTACTTCACCAACAACAACAAATAATCTGAACAGCAGGGATATTTTTTTTAACATTTAAAATTTCATTATTAAAATGTATTTCACATTATATGGGTTTGCTGCTGTTAAAACATGTAAACATAAGATGACATTGATAAGATGACACTGATAATAACTATGCTGACATTGAAAGATGAGTGACTATAATGGTGAGAATAGGTGACCTGATGACAAGTTGACAGAATGTTGTTTATGATATGATGAGGTTAATGAAAGTTGTAATGTCAAGTTATAAAATTCATGACATGACAAGTTATGAATTTTATGACATGCAGATGACAATGATGGCAACAATGACAAGTGTTGACATATTATGACATGAAAATTTGTGATTTTAATAATGACATGCTCATGGAAAGTTGGGCTATTTTTTATGACAATTTGGTGACAAAATATCTTTGATGATAAAAAGAACAAGTTTTGATGAAAATGCATGATAATGACATGTTAATATGATGACAAAAATGAACTATCGAGGGAAATAATTCTCATCATGTTCATGTGCATGTGGGTCAGGGTACTCTGTCAGGTCTAGGGTCATGCTTTTACTGATAACACAATCACCTTGCTGGAAATGGAAATAAAAACTTATATATTTACCATCACTGGAGAAAATAAATATTAAAAAAAAAAAAAATCAAAGACAACTTAGAGTTATTTACATCACTAAGACAGCAAAAAAAAATATTTAAAACTATAAAAATAAAAAATTCTCCAGTAGAAATGTTGAAGATTTTGTGGTGACTGACCTCAGGATAAATACCAATGAGAGCATCAGCTCTGTTGTAGAACTCTTCTTTCAGTGAGATTACAATACACTGGAAACTTTTCCCAGACTGCTCTCTGATGTAGGCTGCCACCTAGGGGAACACAGTACATGTGTTATTAAATCATCTACACTAACTCATGTACACTAATTCATTCACTGGACAATGTATAGAAGAACACAGTAGATGTGTCATTAAATCCTTTACACTAACTCATGTACACTGATTCACTAAACAATGTTAACATCAACAAAATACCTTTCCAATGTTTGTATTGTCCAAGGCTGCATCAATCTCATCCAGTACAAAGAAAGGTGACTGTTGGTAGCTGTAGAAATAACAAAACTAGAACTTACATTTTGGTTACACTACATATTGTTTTACATGGCTAAGTATAATTATATCAATATAGATTTTTCAATCAATCGTAATTATACCACTGCAGTCTTCTTCTTCTTCGTTCTTAATTTTTAGTGTTGCGAGGGATCGAGCCTTATCTGCCAGAGGGTTTGAACTCGAGACTTTTTTTGTAATTTATCAACCATGAGCTTTTGCCAAACTCGACCACGCCTCCAACACAATTAAGGATACGTGTCAACTGGTTATGCGCCATTGAGGCCATTGACTTCGATTTCAGCCTGCTTTTCTTTTTGGATCTGCTTCCATAGCCTTTGTCCAACCAAGAACAAACTACAAGGCAGCAGTTGTTTGATTTTGGAGTTGTCTCTCCTAGAAGAGTGGCTGTCCCCAGCTAACGAGCCTCATCTGCCCGAGGGTTTGAACTCGAGACTTTTTGGTTTAGCAACCATGAGCTTTACCGACTCGACCACGCCGACCCCACCACTGCAGTGAAAGTATGAAACAATAATTTTGTGTTATGTTTCTGAGTGGACAGTGTTTAAATAAAAGAGTTCTTTCATCCAACTTTTAATTTGGCTTTCAGCCTCTGGTTCCATAAAATAGTTTTCAGATTTTGTCACTTGCTAGCTCATACATTTCTTTGTCTGGGCAAATGAAGGGTCAAATGAATGGCTAAGTGCCTACTAAGTCTAGTTGCGTGTGTTAAAAATGGGAATGGACCATCTACAACAGGGAATGGATCGGCTTCAATAGGAAAAAGTGCCAGGTGTAATTGGTAATGGAGCAACTATAACTGGGGACAGACCAGCTACAATGGGACAGACAAGCTATGATGTAATAGACCAACTATGACAGCTACAACAGGACAGACAAGCTATAATGTAATAGACCAACTATGACAGCTACCAGAGTGAAAGTGTACAACACCTGTTGATTGAGAAGAGCAGTGCCAGAGCTGCCACAGTTTTCTCCCCTCCAGACAAGTTGTCCATCTGTCGGAACCTCTTGCCCGGGGCCACACAGTTGTAGTTGATGCCGTCCAAGTACGGCTCTTCTGTGTTCTCTGGGTTCAAAAATGCCTGGGCCGACTGGTTCCTGGCTAGAGACTGGTAACCAAAACATTTGTAAACATTAGCTTAACTCTTTAAGCCCGTAATTATTTTCACGTTTTACCGGAATTATTTTTTTCCCTCATTTTTTTTCAGTACCCCTGCGGCTAAATGACCCATATCTTTTTACCCGTTAATTTAAACCCCACACATTATTGATAAAAATTAATCGTAATTGAATACCCTACACACTGATATAAATTTTAAGGAACTATTAATTTATTGAAGAAAGATAATTACTTAGTTTTAAAGAAGAAAAAATAAAGAGTTGATTTTTTCGTGCAAAAATTACGCTTCTGACAGGAAAATTAATAATAAGAAAAACTTTTCATGAGTTCTTGTTTATAGAAAACGAAAGTACGTCCATTTATCTACAAAAATCATGGATCGGATTAGTCTTAGTATAAATACTTTAATTTTCGTTAATTTTATAATGCGGCGATGTAAACGTTTAGACGCGGCCGCTGAACGGCATTCCGCAGTGTTAAAAAATGCTGTTTTTCGAGTTGTTTTACAAAAAAAATTCTATAAAATACAAAATCAGTCTAACGAGAAAACTACAAGAAGTAAATACAACGAAAAATGGCCGCTCTAGCGTTATCATGACCTAGATTTACGATTAAAAACTTTGATTCCGAAAAACAACGAATTAAATAGAGAAAATTTTATCGGACGCTGGGAGCGTCGTTACGGTATGGCAGGCCGGCGGACCGACCGCTGGGAGCGTCGTTACGGTCTTAAAGAGTTAATGTTGTGTGATATTTGTAAACATTAGCTTAATGTTGTGTGACATTTGTAAACATTAGCTTAATGTTGTGTGACATTTGTAAACATTAGCTTAATGTTGTGTGACATTTGTAAACATTAGCTTAATGTTGTGTGACATTTGTAAACATTAGCTTAATGTGTGACATTTGTAAACATTAGCTTAATGTTGTGTGACATTTGTAAACAGCCTAGTGCTGTATGACATTGTTAACATTACCTTAATGTTGTGACATTTGTAAAATGTGTGACACTTGTAAATATCAGCTAAGTGTTGTGTGGCCAAAATATTTGCAAAAAGAAAATTTCATACAAGATTGTAATTGTAAGCAATGTTAAAAGTATAAAAATTATCCTTACTTTGTAGATTTCATCAATTTTAATGGAGACATGATCAAAACAATGCATGAAAGTGTCATAGCGTTTTTTCCTGATCCTCTCAAATGCTGTTTTAGCAGATTTTGCTCTTCGCCTTGCATTCTCAAACTCTTCCGAGGTTTCTTGAAATCTCTCTTTGACTCCATCTAGCCTGAAATTAAATATATTTTCATTGTTTTATGTTACAAAATAACAATCTCTGACAACTCTATACAGCACAAGAAATACAACATCGAATTTAAACACAAAGACAACATCTAATTTAAACACAAAAATAACATCTAATTTAAACACAAAAATAACATCTAATTTAAACACAAAAACAACATCTAATTTAAACACAAAAACAACATCTGACTCCAGCACAATGTTTGCCTTACTTCTCCATAGCTTTCATATTGGGAGCATTAATTTTCTGTAAAGTGGTCTGCAGATCTGATATTGCTTTGGACATGGTTTGCTGAGCTGCTCTCTCTTCTTCTCCAGAGTCAAGCTAGGGGAAACAAATCATCAACATTTTTGTAATGTGTGTATTGTAGTTGTCCTAAAAAAACTTACAAATGTAATGATTTTCCTATGAGATGGTATTGGTTTTTAGTATTAGTCCAAATGGAAGCAGTTCTTTAAACAATGTGTCCACTTAAAGCAAGCTTCCAACCCACAAGATAGGGTTCGGCGTGGTCGAGTCGGTAAAAGCTCATGGTTGCTAAACCGAAAAGTCTCGAGTTCAAACCCTCGGGCAGATGAGGCTCGTCAGCTGGGGACAGCCACTCTTCTAGGAGAGATAACTCCAAAATTAAACAACTGCTGCCTTGTAGTTTGTTCTTGGTTGGACAAAGGCTATGGAAGCAAACCCAAAAAGAAAAGCAGGCTGAAATCGGAGTCAATGACCTCAATGGCGCATAATCAGTTGACACGTAACGCTTAATTGTGTTGGAGGCGTGGTCGAGTCGGCAAAAAGCTCATGGTTGATAAATTCGAACAAAGTCTCGAGTTCAAACCCTCTGGCAGATAAATCTCGATCCCCTTCAACACTAATAATTAAGAACGAAGAAGAAGAACCCACAAGATGACCACAGTCAACAAAATGACCACAGCCCACAAGACGACTACGACTCATGTCTGTGTCCACTTAATGCAAAAAACCAATCAACAAAATGACCACCTCCCACAAAATGACCCCAACTCACCTCTTTATACTCCTCACTCAACAATGAGTAGTCTATCTCTAGAGCAGCCTCCCTCTCATAGATTGCTTTAGCTCCCTGACTGTTCATAGAGTCCATGGGCGTGTCCTGGCTCCCATCAACAGCATCTCCTTCTGTTATGTCATCTATAGAGCCTTGTCTCATGGGGACCCTGATATCCTCCATCTAAACAGTTCAGCATAACACAAACAAATCAATAAACTTTTCTAACTGTCCTGTGACAATTCAGTATTAAAAAAATTATAAATTTTTAACTAATGGATTAAATGAAGCAGCAAACCTAGCCTCATATTACAACTTTTCACTAAACTTTGTCTGTCTGCCCTCTACTTCACTAATGGATTGAATGAAGCAGCAAACCTAGCCTCATATTACAACTTTTCACTAAACTTTGTCTGCCCTCTACTTCACTAATGGATTGAATGAAGCAGCAAACCTAGCCTCATATTACAACTTTTCACTAAACTTTGTCTGTCTGCCCTCTACTTCACTAATGGATTGAATGAAGCAGCAAACCTAGCCTCATATTACAACTTTTCACTAAACTTTGTCTGTCTGCCCTCTACTTCACTAATGGATTGAATGAAGCAGCAAACCTAGCCTCATATTACAACTTTTCACTAAACTTTGTCTGTCTGCCCTCTACTTCACTAATGGATTGAATGAAGCAGCAAACCTAGCCTCATATTACAACTTTTCACTAAACTTTGTCTGTCTGCCCTCTACTTCACTAATGGATTGAATGAAGCAGCAAACCTAGCCTCATATTACAACTTTTCACTAAACTTTGTCTGCCCTCTACTTCACTAATGGATTGAATGAAGCAGCAAACCTAGCCTCATATTACAACTTTTCACTAAACTTTGTCTGTCTGCCCTCTACTTCACTAATGGATTGAATGAAGCAGCAAACCTAGCCTCACCTTACAACTTTTCAGCAAACTGTGCCTGTCTGCCCTCCTCTGCTCCAGCTTGACCTCCATCTGGTTGATGTTTTTTTGCACTCCAGCGATTTCCTTCTGCTGGACGGTCAGTCTCTTGCGCACCTCATTGATCTCAGCCTCCATGTCGTCCACTTGGGACTTGTAGGTCAGCTTGTTCTGCTTCAGCCTCTCTTGCCGCTGCATCTCCTCTTCTATGATCTGACGGACAAAAGTGGACCAGGTAACTGACCATCCATTTTTTAGGTTCGTTACTTACAAGGTAAGTAGAATTAGGTCTGAATAATTTGACTCACCTGCATTTGACGAGCCTCCTCTTCTTTAACAGTTTCAACTTCCTGTTCGTTATGGTGAACTGTCTCTTGCCACTTCTTCACAATTTCTGTCATCAAAAAAAAAAAAAGACAATAATATATTGGTGGTACACTGAAGAAACTGCATGTAAACAAAAAATTTCTTTAACCAAAATAGATACCAAGGCAATAGCCTACACAGAAGAGTTAAAAACCTGGTGCTCAAGCCAACATGTTTAAAGTGAAAGTTTCTGCCCACCTTCTGTGTCCTGGGATTTCTCACACTCCAGCTGGTTCTCAAGTTTGTGGCGCAGGTTCTCAAACTCCATCCGCCTCCTGGCTCTCTCTTGCTGTGCTCTCAGTTCTCTCTCTTCATAATGCCTGGGTTAAAAATTTTCATTTATTTTATTCAAAATGATGTTTTAAAATGTAACATCACCCAGTACTTTTATGACAATAAAAACCAAATACATTAAATTACAACCCTAATAATTTATCTAAAGAAGTGTTTATTTTCACGAGCCAGAAGATATAAGTAGGGCCTACAAATACTAGTGAAATTCCTAAAAAAATCTAAATTAGTTAAATGAAAATTATCTTATTGAGAGGTGACAATTTTAATATAATAAAACAAAAGAATGTGTTGTGCAATCACCTGATATTAAGAACACCTATAACAGCACAAAAATCTTTGAAAACCGCATCTTCAACACGATTCATTTCATCTCTTAACTGCTTGATGTCCACTTCCCTGGCATCAATGCTTCTCTCAAGCTTCTGTTGGTCAGGCTGCCAATAGAAAGAATCAACATTGTATACAAGCAATGTCTTGTTTCTATTTCATAAACTGGTGCTGTTCTAGTCGACATAATGTGAAGCACCAGCCAGCGCTAGTAGCAAGGGAGAGCACCATATTCAACCCAACCTGTACCACTCACAATTCTGTTTCCTTATTCTATTTATGATAGCACCACACTGAGCACTGTATAACTCACCATAGCTTTCTCAATCTTCATCTGACACTCAGCTATCTGGTTCTCATTGTGTCTTATGGTCCTGTTCCTCTGCAGATAAAGATAACAGCAGATAACTTAAAGTACTAAACACTTGCACTGATGTACCCACTTGAAAACAAAACAAAAACTGGTAAAATTAAAAGTAAGCTATTTAAAAAATTATTGTCGTTGTTCTAAGCAACTTTTCAATTATCCATCTGCCAAATTTAAGTTATTATAATAACAAGATGTTTAATTATTTATTGAAAGTACTTTCCAATGAGATTTTCAAATTTTAACTTTTGAATATGATGAATTTAAGTTTAAAATTTTTCACAGCCACCAAACAGAGTTGACCAGACGAAGTGTCCATAAACTGACCGTGTTCTCCAAGTCTGTGACGCTGTACTTGAGGCGTGTCTCTAGGCCTTTGATCTGTGACCTGATGGTGTTCAGCTCAGATTCCTTCCTCTTCTTCTTCTGCTGCTCCTTCAGCTCCTCCATCAGCTTCTCCTTCTTGGTCTTCAGCTGGCTCAAGCTCTTCTCATCCCACCTCCTGGCCTTGGCCTTCAGGTCACTGGGTACACAAACAAAATGGCAGCATATTATCAATTCTAGCTTGATGATTATTATAGACTAAATATACTATAAATAATATATTACAAGCAAATGTTTTTACATATACCAGACTACAATGTAGATTCAAAAGTTTTGGACTACAACAGATTATAAAGAGAAATGAAAACAGTTGAAACTGTCTCCAATGCATCTAGCAACTAACTGATGTGTGTAAAACTGCTGATAAATGAGTAGTTATGACTAATGTAAGATTTAAGCAGACATGTAAAAGAAACTTGTGAGTTACCTTGCACCACCAGAGATGATACCAGACTTATTGAAGATTGTGCCATCTAGAGCCACAGACTGAGAAGAGAAAAATTATGTTCAATTACATTATGACAAAATAGTGAACTTTATTCAATTTCTTCTTCTTCTTCGTTCTTAATTATTAGTGTTGAAGGGGATCGAGATTTATCTGCCAGTGGGTTTGAACTCGAGACTTTGTTTGAATTTATCAACCATGAGCTTTTTGCCAACTTGATCACGCCTCCAACACAATTAAGCATTACGTGTCAACTGGTAATGCGCCATTGAGGCCATTGACTCCGATTTCAGCCTGCTTTTCTTTTTGGATTTGCTTCCATAGCCTTTGTCCAACCAAGAACAAACTACAAGGAATCAGTTGTTTAATTTTGGAGTTGTCTCTCCTAGGAGAGTGGCTGTCCCCAGCTAACGAGCCTCATCTGCCCGAGGGTTCGAACTCGACTTTTCGGTTTAGCAACCATGAGCTTTACCGACTCGACCACGCCGACCCCTTTCAATTTAAATTATAGGAAAATATTCCTTTTAGATTATAGGAAAATTCTTCCCTTTAAATTTTACGAAAAAAGTTCCTTTTAAATAATAGGAAAATTATTTTATAAAGATAATAATGTACAACAAAAGTGGCATACAATGTGTGAAAGAGTGCTATTCTACAAACCCTTTGTCTCTCAACTCCTCCGAATGCAACACGCCGAGCATCCTCGACAGTCTCACACACTAGAGCGTTACCACAGGCAAACAACAGGGCCTTTTTAATGACAGGTGGATCATAATGGATGACGTCAATCACCAGCTTTACATTCTTTGGGTCTCTGATGTCTCTGGAGGTGACAGTACAAAAACAAGAGCTAGTAACAGAATAAATACCATCTCAGCTAGTCTTGGTACAAAAACAACAGCTAGTAAAAGGACAAATACCAGCTCAGCTAGACCTGGTACAAAAACAAGAGCTAGTAACAGGATAAATACCATCTCAGCTAGTCTTGGTACAAAAACAACAGCTAGTAAAAGGACAAATACCAGCTCAGCTAGACCTGGTACAAAAATAAGAGCTAGTAACAGGACAAATACCATCTCAGCTAGTCTTGGTACAAAAACAACAGCTAGTAAAAGGACAAATACCAGCTCAGCTAGACCTGGTACAAAAACAACAGCTAGTAAAAGGACAACTACCATCTCAGCTAGTCTTGATACAAAACAAGAGCTAGTAACAGGACAAATACCATCTCAGCTAGTCTTGGTACAAAAACAACAGCTAGTAAAAGGACAAGAAGCACCTCATCTAGTCTAGGTATAAAAATCACTATTAGCACAAAAACATCAATAGCTCTGCTAGTGGCATCAAAGCATAGATCTTATAGCCTCCAAATTTAACAGTAGTCAACAGCAACAGAACAATACCAATACTATTTCGGAACCACAATAAAGTGGTTAGTTTAACAATTTTACAATGTAACACTAGTGATCAGTTACAGAGAAACAATGTACCAGAGCAATCATGAATATGTGTTCATAAACAGTAAACAAAAACTCTGGCTTATCTTTCAACATATAACAGCATTGGGTAATAAATTATATTTACTTTGAGACTAATGACTAAGAATTAAAAAGAAATAGAAATGGTAGAAATGTATTTCTATTTCTTTAAATTAACAGTATAATGTATCCAATACTATAAAAAACTACCTTAATTTTTCATTGATTTGCCCCACTTCCAGGTAATCCAAAGGTAAAAATGTCTCCGGCTCAATGCGCTGCTCTTTCATGTACTGAATGCAGTCCTTGGCGGTTTTCTCAGTGTCACAAACAATTGAGTCCATATGCTTGCCTAACACTTTTGTAATGGCAATCTGGTACTTTTTGTGGCTTGGCTCACACAGGTCAATCAGGCGGCCATGCTAGAGAGAGAAAAACAAGGAACTCTTACCTCTTTAAAGTTTAAAACAAATGTACACTAGAAAATTGTGTATTCTCACAAATAACGGACCAGAAATTACTAATTGTTTAACCAATACTTTAAAACACAAAGGGTATTCTACAAAAGTTATTGAAGTACTTACAACACCAGGATATAGGCGCTTCAAGGTGTCAATGAGTTCAGCTTTTCTTGTGGCACGGGAGGACTCTTGCCTGTCCACCTGTTGAAATATAGCTAGTTACAACACGGCCGTATCATTAAACAATTAAATACTTAAACAGCTAGAAGATTAAACATGCAGATTATTAGTTTTTTTCCCTTATACAGTCATATCATCATAGAATTAAAAGCAGGGAGTGATTTGTGAAAATTTAACAGAGTGTAAAAATAAATTATAATCTCATTAGTACTTTAGCTTCTCCCAATTGCATGGTGATACTCTCAAGCTCTCTGTTTATTTCATCAATTCTGTAGGTGGATTCATTCACATCTTTGGCTAGCTCTTGTTCAACTTTCTTTTGATCTTCCAGTGCTGATCGACTGGTCCTACACAAAACAGAACAAAAGTGTTTCATTAGAAGTGTATTGTTCAAGAGATCTTTTAGTGCTTATATATATTTTAATTAAAAAAACAAAGCATAATCAATATACATCATTAAAAAAAGAAAATGAAAGCTGTTTTATCTATATATAGATGGGTTCTGAAATTATAACTGATACAAAATTAGCTGTAATCTTACGTGATGTAATCTTCTAGCTTAGAAACACGATTCTTGTTCTCCTCTAGCTCGTGCTGTTTCTGTTTCAGTTTAGACTCATAGGTGGCGATGTCTCTCAGGCAGCTGTCTAGCCTGTCCTGCTCCATTTTCTGATCTCGGATGATGGCGTCCAACTCCTGCATGTATTCAGCCGCTCGTCTGCCTGCTTCCTCCTTCAACCTGTTGTACTGTTGGACCTGTGGAGATTTGACACAAACTTTACCAGCTGACCCTTTTTGACCCATCTTTACAGCAATTTTTTTAATAAATTATTAGATATCAAGAAAAGAAAAAATTATGGTCAAGATTTAAACTTCAAAAAAATGTAAGTATATATATTTTTTAATTTGTTACTATCGTTTAGTAAACAAATGAGTTTGTATCTTACTTGGCTTTCTTCCAGCTGGAGTGACCTCCCCTGCGACTGAGATTCCTCCTCTAATTCGGCTTCAAAAGCCTTCTGTTTGTGCATCACATCATCAAGCTGCTCTTGGATTTCTGACAACTAAAACATTTCTAGACTTTACATACTAGAATACCACTCAAGTTAAATATAGACTATATATTCATATTACATACAGAGAGAGAGGCTTATGGGACGACAAAACAAGTTCTTATTGGATTTAAATTTATAAATGTATATTAGAAATAAAGAATTGCTAAAACAATGCAACTTACTGTTTGGTTGTGATTTTCATGTTTCTTAATAGCCTGCTTCAGTGATTTTCTAAAAGAAAAGAAAAGAATCATGTATTAAAATCTATATATCTTTGTATGGCATTCAGATAAACAAACAAGGTGGGGAAAAAAAAATCTCCTTACTTAGATGCATCCAGCTTTTTGGTCATGTGAGAGGTCTGCTCCTTAGCCTTAATATACTGTGGTCTTTTCTTGTTGAGACTGGTTTCCTGTCAAATTTTTAAAAATGTTTTGTTAGTTTTTTTATAAATTATTACTCAACAAAACAATTTTTATTCTGTACATTTCACTTACAGATTCTTTGATTTGCTGCTCCAACTTAGCCAAATCTCGACTAATTGTGCCCTGTTCTTTTTTCTTTTCCTTTATCTCAGTTTCAATCTTCTCACGTCTTTTATTTTCCTTTTCAAGTACACGAGTTTTCTTTGCCAGTTCTTCAGATATTTCTTCAATGTCTTTTTCATTGTGAAATAGCTTGAACAAAGCTAGCTCTAGTTGTTTTTCAACCTGATTTATTTCAAGAAAAAAAAATCTCATTTACTATGCTTGCATAAAGAATACAATTTTCAAAAAATTAATCGATATAATAAATTAACAAATAACTGATGTTGTAAGAAGTAAGCGAGCAAGTAATAAATTAACGAATGAACCAACCAGCTGCTCATTTAATCTCTGATAACGTTCCGCCTCCTCCTTCTCCAGCCTAGCCTCCTTCCTTTCGGCTGCAATTCCTTTTTTCTTGTTTAAGTTGAATTGTGTGTCTTCCTCAGCTTTCAACATCTCCGCCTTAGCTCTCTCATACTCTTCTTTCATTTCACCAGATCTAAACAAGAAAAATTCACTTTAATTAGTTTGAAATAAAAATATTTGAAGACAATGTGTTTAACTTAAAATTGGCAAGTTGATTAGCTCATGTTTATCTTAACTCTGAATGTAATAAGTTAAATAAAGCACAGGTGTAAAGTCAACTAATGATTCCACAATGAAGATATTAAATAAACGGAATTGTGAGTTTTCAATGTAAGGAATATTATTAAGATAAACATTGAAGAAACAACAGGATGATTTTTCCTAGTGTTTACTTATAAAGTCTTCAAAATTAATATTTAATTAATATTTTTTTAGATAATATACTTACTTGCAAATATCTTCAAACATTGCTGTCCTTTCCTTTGCATTTTTCATTGCTATACTCTCTACTGTACCTTGAAATACAAGGAAGTTTTTTGCTTTGATCAGAATTCCAATTCTTTCCAGTGCTTCATTATACTGTTGTGATGTCACAGTCTAAAATATTAAAAGTTTTATTAGTTTTAACACATTACAATCTATATAAATATTTTAGTCACTTTCAGACAGGCTACATTCTGTAGTTGCTGAACATAAAGATTCTTTTCCAATTGAACACATAAGTTATGCCTGAATCACCAGATGTATTGATGTAAAGCTACATTTTATGCTTACATGTCCATCAATCCTGTACTCAGATGTATTATTATTGATTATCCTCTGAAAGTGCATCTCACGATCACTATCTTCTTCACCATAAACTGCTGTCACTGTAGCTCGATTTGAAGCCGGTTTACCAATAGGTGCACCATGAATAAGATCCTACACAATAAAGAATGATTAAGACATTATAAAATTAAAATGAAATGAATTATTAATACTGAAATGTTCTATCGGTGGCATCTTTTCTTGTGTACCATACCCATTTTAGGTTTATAAGACAAAAATATATGTACAATGCTACACTTAAGCTGAAAAAAATTTCTTACACCAAGTCTTTTGGAACGGAGGTTTGTTGTTTTTTCTCCCATCACAAAACTGATGGCATCCATAAGATTGGATTTTCCTGCAAAAGAAAGTTAATTTGTTTATACTCAACTAATCAAACATGCTGGGTCTATTAGATCTAGACTGATTTGGCTAGTGTCTAAATTAACTCAAGAGTCATTTGCATTTTCCTGTGAACAAAAATAACAAGGACAGACTTTGGTTAGATTTAACAAGTCTAGCAAAGTTAACATTCATCACAATAAGGGTAATTTGAGCCCATTTCACCCTATTTTTAGCCTTTTTAATGTCTTTTTTTTTTTTTTTGAGTCTTCTGCCTAGCCTAGGCGGCAAAAGCTTCTTTCGACTAGTCACTTCGTAAATTTTAATACAGGTGATACGCATGTATAACTACTATTAAAAGTAATCAATGGCTGTGTAGATCAGGTCCCAAGAGCGTAATTAATGAAGGAGTCTAGATCAATAGATCTAGAAATCTAGTAAAAATCGAGTTAACCTACCTGATCCATTGGGGCCAATGATTGCGGTGAACTTTTTGAAGGGACCGATCTTCTGCTTGCCTTTGTAAGATTTGAAGTTTTCAACTTCAATATATTTCAACATTCCAGGCATTTTTAGATATTTAAGGTCAATCAATATACCAAAATAAAAATGCAAACATTGATATCTGCAAATAGTTTTGGAAAATTAATATATTAATGTGTACACTAAATTTCAGTATCAATTTTTTACCCCCGCCAAGAAGACTTGATGTGTTTATTATTTTACCGGAAGCTCATCTTACACAATTATTGTGAATTCTTAAATGAGTCCAGCTAAGATTTCACAAAATCGTAAATAGAAAATGGGGTGTGGTGTGTAATTTACAAATGATGTATTTGTAAAAGTGGCTGACTTTTGTGACAAAGAGAAGGGAGGGGTTCAGATACTTAGTGTGAAATGAAAAGCATTTTGAACGCAATTTTCAACTAAGAGGGTTATAAAGCATATATTTGTAATGTTGTTTCTCGTAATTTTAAGAGTCCAAATAGGTTGCAGAATATTATGGTGGTAAAGGAAAATATTGATAATAGGATGCCAAATAATTTATTTAAGAAACGGTTCATATTTTAACACATGATCCGCTGCAACCCCCCCCCCCCCCCTGCTTCAATACCCATCCACTGGTGATGTATGAACTGTATTTAACAATTTAATCAAGCTAAAATGTGGAATATTTTGTAGCTATGTTAATTTCTTAATTATAACATTTAATCTGTGTTTCGGGATGATTGGTAGTAATAGATAGACGGGATTTCAGCGAAAAGTAAGGTACCATTGTATACATTTTGTTACAAGAATAATTGTTGAAATAGACAAACTAATGTTGAGGAGAATATTTAATTTTTATATATTGTTAAATTGTGTTTTTATTATATTATTTATTACTATTTAGATTATGTTTTAATATTTTATTTTTAAAAATAAATTCATTTAGAAAAAGAAATATCTGTATCAACTCATCATTATAATGTGTATTTTTAACTAATGACCAATCAGCGTCCAGATTAATCGCAAGTTTTGTGCATAACGACGACAGTGTAAACTTGACAACAGACAGCATCATACTAGAGACTGATTGAATCACACATGAGATTTGAAGTTTACTTAGGAGATATAGAATCTAAACTATACACTGTACAGTGGGCTGTCGTTTTTTTTTTGTATTTTGTGGTGTGAAATAAATAGAATCTGAAAATGTATAAACTAGATTTACCTGTAGACTATAAACAAGCCGCGGCAATTGAGCGCCGTCGTGCGATGGAAGAAGAGAGAAAAACAAGAATTTTTAACGCAAAAACCAGGCAGATAGGGGTAAGAAAATAAAAATTATGTTTTGCATTTAGATTTCTTAACTGTATTTTAATTATTAAAATTTATTTAATAATAGGCCTATGTTTTATCACTATAATTTTACTAATTTCCTTTCTCAACACTCAACAGTACGAAATAAAAATAAAATATTATTAGTTTTACTAAATAATAATACTATTATTAGGGGGAGGGGCTAAATAAACAATTTGGCCTAGGTGTCTAATTATTAGTAATTAAACTCTAGTTAAACTAGTTACGAGATCTAGATCTAGTACCTGCATTAATAGTGGAGCTTTATCTACTCTAGCCAAATCATATGTAAAATGTATTTAGTAATAAAACAGAAATAGGCCTAGATGTATGTCATCTAATATATTATAGGCCAGATAATTTTAGTACCAAAAGTAATTATTATAATTAACAAACCAACTCTAGAAATACAACTTAGAGTGCACATTAAATTTTGAGACCATGCTATACACAGTGATTTAGGCATTTTAGGTTTGTAAGTAAAACTAGATCTAGGTAGAATCTAGTTAAGTACCCTTTCGAACCTGACAAGTGAAGACGATTTAGGTCGTGATCCTAAAATGTTTAAAATTAATGGTTCATTATTTTTATGTTCTAAAAATGCATTAAATAATCATGATATAATTTTGTAATTAGTTTGCATATACAGACCACTATAACTTTTGCTTGCGTCTTAACTTCTTAAGCCAGCCCTGATAGTACCTTATAAATTATTCCCTTACTTTATTAACAGTTACCCTGGCAGAAAAACTTCATACATTTTAGAAATTCTCTCAGAATTTTCTGGCAACTAAAATCACTCATTACACATAGATAATTTTAATTAGTTATAATATTAAATTTTTAACAGCAATAATTTGTTTTTTTAAATACATTATGTAAAGTGTTTTCTGCTACTAGAAACAAATACAATGTATAAGTTGGGTGATATTGGGGTTCTTTTTTTTTTTTAATAGTTTTTGAAATAGATTAGCTAAAAATGGCTAAAATTTAAGTAATTAAATCCACAATATTTTTTATTGTGGATTTAATTATTGTTATTTTTGTATTATTTAGATTATACTTTAATGTTAGATATTTAAATGATAATTTATGTAGAAAAAATTTAGCCTTTCATTTATTTGTAAAAATTGTACATAAATACTTTTCAGATTGATAAACAAGCCATTGAGCAGCAAGTTTTTGACAAAAAACAAATGGAAGAGTATGAAAGAAAAAGACATGAAGCTTTTGGTAAAGTTTTTTTTATCCTGTGGAAAATGTCTTTAGCTCTTGGCCAGCTTGAGAATAATAAAGTCTTAATAGCATTATAATTGTCAATGTGATCCTCACTAGGTTATGGAAATGCCACCGTATATGTATCTAAAGACAATTGTGAAGAGCGATATATTTTGGTCAACATAAAATCTTAGAGTGTACATTAAATTTTCAGGGGATGGCATGGTTAAGTGGGAGAGTATATAGTTGCTAATTCCAAAAGTCCCGAGTTCAGACACCTGCACATTTGAGGCTTGTTAGTTAGAGAACTGGAACCCATCTAGGAGAAAGAATGCAAAAATTAAACAAAGGCTGTCTTGCAGATTGTTTTTGGTGGACAAAGCCTATGAAACCAATATTAAAATTAAGAATGAAGAAGAAGTAACCTCAACATGCACATTAAATTCAAATAATAATGCTTGCATAAATAATAGTTTAACTATACTTTTTGTAACTTGAAGAAATACAACTTCAAACCAGGCATAAATTAGCATTGTGCATGAGAATAAGATAATATTTACTGGTTATTTAAATAATTTGCACTGATTTTTAACAGCGGCTGATGCTCTCAGGAATGATAGGATTGCGACTATGTTGGAGAAACGCCAGGAACATGATATTCGTGCTCTAAATGAGGCCATTAATGAATTCCGTGCCCTCCACCAGCAACCCAATCAGAGAAGAGAATGGGACCTGTATGATCCAGATGCCTTAAAAAAAGACAAACCCGCACGAGTCCATGATGATGATCCTCGCTGTGGGATTGCCAGTTTACAGAAATTTGATGGAGAGGATTTAAATAGCAAGGTGAATACCAAAACATTTATATTTATCTAAGATTACATCTTAGGGTGGCTAATTATTTTAATAAACACTTTGCAGATTTTAGATGGGTTTTTATTACTTTTTTAAGTATTACGTTTTCACTCATTCCTTATTAATTCTGGGACGATAAACTATATTGAAAGCTTTTTAAATATGAATAGTCATATTTTAATTACAGGCTCGTAAGAAGCTTCAAAATGAACAAGCTCGCAAATGGCATGAAGCACAGATGAGAGAAAAAGAGAAGGCCAAAATGAACCAATCTGAGGCTGATCGTCTGTACGAATTAAAACAACGAGAGCTAGACCAGAGGGCCATGGAGCTGCAGGAAGCTGAAGAAAACTGCAGGAAAGCAATCAATATGGCGACAGCCTCTTACAACAGTGCTCTTGTGAGTGCTATAGTAGTTTACTCTATTTATACACGTCTTTATTCTTCTTTAAGGTCAAAATATAAGATTGAATTAATAAGCTTGAACTAGTTATTTTATGGTGAGATAAAAAAGTTTCAAAATTTGTTGTGTCCTAGATTTAAGCTGTGAACTTTGCCAAATTATGGTTTTAATTTCTGAGTTAGCTTTCCACAATATATCAATTTTTATTTCAATACTGATTTTTAAAAACCTTTTATAGTGGTTAGGAACATTAATTATTTAATTTAATAAAAGAGAGAAAGTGTTATCTAACTGTAGAATTAATTTGTCAATACGGATGAAAATATTTTCTTGTAGAACAATGAACAAAGGGAGCGTGAGCGTCTGAAGAGACAACAGGAAGAGGATGACAAAATGACAGAGATCGCCAACTGTGTGTTTGGAGATTTTCTCACAGAAAACCCTGCAGTGGCACAGAGCGCATTTGGGCCTCACCGTGTGATTCCTGACAGATGGAAGGGCATGTCGCCACAGCAGCTGGCAGAGATTAGAAAGGAACAGGAGAGACAGAAGGCAGAGGCTGAGGTGAGCAGGGTGGGGCTTTATACAAGTGGAATCAGCTGATTTGTCTTAATAGTAGCATAATTATAACTATCATCATCTCTTTATTTTTTTTCCATTTGTACACAAGACACATGGGCAGATGAAGCAGAGTTCATCTGTTTGACTTATCTGGGTATACAGTGGGAATAGTAGGGTCAGCACTATGCTCATCCACCTTTGATTTTCTATCTTGAGTTTGGTACCTATCATAGTTGGTTGGATTCAGGGACATCCTATAGACTGAAATCAAAATTCAAGACTTTTGGATTAGCAATTGAGCACTCTACCATCCATCACTGTCCCTTACTTCATAAAATCTTACCCTAAGTTTACCATATTGGATATGATAAGTATGAATCAAAGCAACAAAATTAAAAAAAAAAATTTGTTCATGACTATAAGTTGACATTAGATTGATTTCTTTTAGCGCCTTCGCCAAGAGGAGGAACTTCGTAACAAGGAGTTTGAGCGCCAGGCTTCAGCCAATGCTAGAGCAGCTTTATTAATTGAAAGAGAAATGGAAAGAAAGCGCAGAGAGCTAGAGAAGGCCCAAGCAGATGAGAACCGCCGTTTGGCTCAGGAACAAAAAGCTCATATAGACTTCATGAACAGGGAGGTGTACACCAACCCCCCCACAGCAGCTTACTTCATGCAGTTTAACACCACCACACGATAACCTCTTCTGTTTAGTTGGGGTAGTTTAAAAATTGTGATACATTTTCAGATTAATAACAATGTTTTCTTATGTTTCTGGTATGTTTAAGCATTTTTCTCACAGTATTTCTGACACAATGATTTGTGTTGTTTAGGCCACAACATTCAAATTTAAAGCATATGTTGATTGTGTGCATGATATCAATAACTTAAAATAGGATGGGATTTTTACTTTACTGAAATTTTTTCCATTTTTAATATCTTCTTGACTGTGAATTATTCTAAAGAGATAATATGTTGGATTTTAACTTGTTCATAGCCTATCTGTGTTTGAATCATTGTTAAAAAAACAGATTTAATGAGTCCATAACATTAAAATCCAAGCAATGTTGTTGCACTCTTAAAAATGATCAAAATCCTAAAGATGAAATTGTTGGTAATTTGAATAATTTTTTTAATATCACTAAGTTTAAAGTTTGTATTAATTTTTTTAAAACTTGACCGTTTACTTATGTTTTGTATGTAGAGTAAAAAAAAGTGTGACAGGCTTTGGTTAAAAGATTTCTAACTTTTTTAAAATGAAATTTTTAGAAAAAAAAATGTGTTTATTTTTAAATTTTTGAATTATTTATAAGCTCTGTTTTTTAAATTATACAGCAGAAATTTTTAAACCTATCTACATTATACTTGTAGTTTCCGAGACGTTTTTAAGGAGTGTACTATGTTTTGAATATGTATTTTGATACTTAATATTGTATAATAACAATTATTATTATATTTTATAAATACTGTATTATTAAAAATTGATTACCTCCCATTGAGTGAATAATTTATTTGAATGGAAAGACAACTGTGTAAATCAAATAGTCTAGTATTAATTATTTTTTTCTATTATGCTGTTTTAAATAGCAAAGAGCATAAGAAATAAATCTATACTTTTTACCAAGCAGTTGATTTGAATAATAACAGTATCTCTGTTTGTGCTATCTCTGTGGACTGTTGTATAGGTAGGGTCTACCTGCAAGGGAGATGGTTTGGTATAAGAGCAGGAGTATAAATTGTTTTTGATCCAACATTGAAGATAGACTTTATATGTGCCTCGTTATAACCTAGACGTTTGAAATCCTATTAAATGAGTGAAAAAATGTATCTGTACTGTGATTACATGGTTTGCAAGAGTGATCTCCCCTAATAAACAGTGATATCCCCTAACAAATGTCCCGAGTAGTCTCCCCTGACAAACAACCTGTGATTCAAACACTCTCAACCACCGGCTTGTCTATAAAAAATATTCACCATGCAGTCTGTTATGTTTTTTTTTCTTCTGTTTTTATGCAAAACATGTAACATTCTGGCCTATTTCTCAGTCTCATCACATAGGCCTATAACGTTAAATATCATTTCTTTAAACACCTCCCATAAAATAAGTAAATAAATACGTAACTTTAAAAACAAACAGTAAATGCGGTGGCCTCAATATAAGTTTCGTTTCCAGAAACACTCAAACTGTCGTCTGCAATGTATAATTGTGCTGACATTTGGATTTTAAAAATAATTATAATTTGTGCGGAAGAGATAATTTTGTTTGGATTTTCAATTATTTTTTTATGTACAGTGACTAAATGTTTTAAACCGCTGAGATAGTACCTTAGTCTTTAGGTCATGGGAAGTCTAATCCTTGTAAACCGCTGAGATAGGTACCATAGTCTTTAGTTCATGGGATGTCTAATCCTTGTAAACCGTAGGTACCATGAGGGGGGGGGGGAGATGTCTAATCCTGGGATGTGGTATGTACCAAGGTTATCTCCCATGGCGTGGTCGAAGGGTAGACTGTTCGATTGCTGACCCGAATGTCTCGAGTTCAGATCCCAGGCTCGAATACGTAGGCGTCCGTCCAGCTCTGGGTACCCGACTCACGTTAGAGAAAGTAAAGCCGGCTGGATGGGGAGTTAAATGTGTGAAGGGGAGGGGACGACTTTGTTATATACGTGAGTGGGTCTGTTTATGTGACGGCGTGTGACGAAATTGCAATCAACTCAGCTGGGTGTTGTAGACTACCCTACAACGGCGTGATATTATTTATATTTGACTCCTTTAACTAACTGTTAAAACGCCCCCCCCCCCCTACCTTACGATATATACGCCACTCTTACATTACACATAAAGGAGGAATCTACGTATTATAAGCAATTACTTATTTTGATCGGAATATCTGATTTACTTATTGTGGGCAATCCTATTTTCCAGCCTGTTACATGGTAAGGATGGTTGGTAATGCTTTAATGCTTGCACGAATTGATGCATAGAGCAGAGTTTTTTCCAGGCATCTCTCCGGGGGGGGGGGGGGGGGCGGTCTACCCGGCTACCGCCCCCCCCCCCCCCCGAACGAAATGAATTTATATAGAAAATATATACTTTTAACAGTGTCCGCCCCCCCCCCCCCGAAGAAAGTCTACCGCCCCCTCCCCCCCCCCCCCAAAAAATTTCAAATGCCCCCCCCCCCCCCCCCCGAAGAAAAAAGTCTGGAAGAAACACTGGCATAGAGAGATGTCCGATAGGCAAAACACTTTAATTTCCGATTTTGATTTAGAAAATATAACTGAGCTCGTTCGTTCTAAGTCACCCCCTCCACTCCAAAGAATCGTGTCACAGTATCATGATAAAGACCCCCACCCCCACCCCTCTCCCACCCCCAGACTCCCATCCTGACAGTGTGTCATGCGCAAGACAAGCTGCGCTGGAAATCGATTTTTATCCCCTTCTCGTTACATCAAGTTCAAGGCCGTCGGCGAATCTATTTACGGTTCTCTTCGATTGGCGAGCGTCGCTGACCATTATTGTGGTCGTGGGAGATGGCATTGGTTTCTATCTTTGGGGCCGCTGTCCTCCGTTGTGTTGCTGTGCTTGTGTAAACATCAGCTCAGGAGTTGGTGAACACTTTCTCGTGTGGTCGTTTTATTCCCTCGTCACTGAGTAAGTAGGTCTGTTGTTTCTTGTACAGGCGGGAGGGGGGTGGGGGTGGAGTTCATATTTACACGAAAAATCCCCACTCAAACAATCGGATACTGCTAGAATGAGCTACTGGGTGATACCATTTTTAACAACCCCTTTCTCCAATGTTTTTTGTTGCGACCATGCAAATCTAAATGATGATAATTGAGTTTCAGCACCTTGTATTCTTTAGGATATAAACATCGACACTGTGTCTACTCACGTCCATGTGATTGGCATGTTTTGAAAGCGTTCTAAATATGTTATAACTCTAGCAACCTACGTGCCCTAAAAAGGTGCTTCATACTTTCTTTAAAAACGTTATGCTGTAATTATTTTACACATAATCAACGTGCAACATATAAAACACTTAGCGGACATTTTTTGCTGTGTTGTTAATCAATTAATTAACAAAACGTGTTCAGTGACAGTAAGACAGTTGACAACAAAATCACAATGCGTTGGATTAGTCTTGAGTCTGCAGCGCTGAACAGCTGACTGGCTATTTTTAGCCAACAGGCAGAAGAAAATAATCGATAAAATATTGCAACACAGGGCGCTAAATTTAAGTCTTAGATTTCGCGATGCTAGTTATCGCGGATTGTGTGTTATGCTAGATCTATACAAAAATTGTGACGGTATAACACAGTCGAAAAGCTCTGTGATATTTTGAAACAACTGGTACCAATACCTTATCCAAACCTAAACTTCGCACCAGCAGCCACTGTAAGCACCTTAGCTCAAATCTGATACTAAATGCATTAGATACAGAAGGTTGGGATTTATGGCTAGGAGCAGTAGCGTAGCGGGGGGGGGGGGGGGGGGGGCGGGGGGGGGGGGGGGGACATACGTCCCCGGGCGCCGACCTTAGAGGGCGCCAAAATGGGTTGGAAAAATAAATTGAAAGGTTGAGGGGGGGGGTGCAAATCAAAAGTTTAAGGGGGGGGGGTGCAAATCGAAAAGTTTGTCCCCGGGCGCCCGGAAGGGTCGCTACGCCTCTGGCTAGGGGAGAGCATTTTAGAAATTTCTAGACCCCCCACCCCCTCCACCCCACCGCGTAAATGATGTCTAAAAGAGGTTTTGAAAGAACCGTGTTTGCATATTGTGGGAGAGTGTTTATTGTGTGGTATTGTTTGTATGCCTTAATTAAAGATTGAGTTTAAATGGTGGGAATGTGTGTAGGTCTTAGTTTAAACTTAATGGTATGTTTGCCAATATATGATTTTATATTCCAATAACAAATAAACCGGGAGTGATCTCCCCTAAACTTTCTCGGATATTCTAATATAAAACTACGAGGGATGGCAACTCAGGACATAGACAATATTTGTAATCCATTTTTAATTACTTAAACTTTTTATAATAGAATGGAATCTTGTAAAAAAAAAGAATTGCACACTAAGTGAACGCCTAATAAAATGTGCATAATAGTGCGCAATATTATTAGTACTTTATAAATGTACGTGCGTTTTTTGAGAAATCGGAAATAGCGTAAATTAGTACTTCAGGTCAACGGAAATTATTCACAATTTGACAGAAGGTAGAGAATTAGATCTTTTACTTACATGTGAAATTTCATTTATCTATCTGAAATAGTACTCAAGTTATAGGCTTTTGAAAAATTCAAAGTAGAAAAAGTACCACTTCCGGTTATTGGAAATCGCTCAAAAGTTGATACGGATCTACGATTTTGATAAAATACTTATATATGAAATTTCATCAACCTAGCTGTAACGGTACTCAAGTAATCGTGTTTACACACAGACACACAGACACACACATACAGACACACACACAGACACACTGACATACGGACAGGATTGCAAAATTATGTTTTTCCGTATCAGTGAGGTGTAAAACGTCGAGATTTGTAAAAATCTCGATTTTTTTTTGCACGAATACAATACTTTCTCTATACTTCGTATATACGAGAAAGTAAAAAAGGAATGCGCACCAAAAAAAAAAACAAATCTCAATCACTTTTGATTATCGTCTGGCTCAAGTAGTCCTAAAAAGGAAAATCAAGGGAGGTAAACAGTTTTACTTCGATGCCTGGTGCATTGATCGCCCTTTACAAATTTCATCTTACTGTTTTAGTGCAGTATAAATTTTAATGTATTAACTACGTTTAGAAATTTTTATACATCTCAATGGGCTTGTATTTTCTCCGAAATTAGTTAACATTTTTTTTTTTAGATTTAAAACAAAAATGCAAACTTAACTTTTTTTCCTTTGTTATGTCCCCTGGGCTGTAATTCTCATTATTTTGCTTTTTATTCTTCCTCTAAAATATTGATTCATTCAATATTTTCATAGCACATTCTACACTTACAAAAATCGCATCACTTTTGTTCACATTAAAATAGCTGTACAAAATCAAGGGCTGTATTGATACATTGTGATTTAACTTTTAGTAACACTTTAATTTAAAACGTTTTATGTGAGATCAAAGGTCTATAAATAAATACAATTTTTGTTTCATTTGGTCTATAGGAAGATTTAGTCTTTGTTAAAATACAGTGAAATTTGGTCTGGGTTTAAACAGAGGCGGAACTAGAAAAAAGACCTCTGCTAGTTCCGCCCATGGGTTGAAAACATTGTGATATTGGTTTAGAGCTAGTCTCTATAGAGTTTTTAACGTTTGGCAAAACATTAAGATTTCGTAACAAGAAATGGCGGTGGGTGGTTGATATTAAAATGTAAAATACATCATTACACACAATACATTTGGTGAATATGCATAAGCTAAAAAGATTATTAATAGTATGCTTGGCTAAACAGATTGAGGACTAATGGCCCTGTGAAAGGAACACCGTTATGTACACAGATTGAGAAATACTGGCCCTGTGAAAGGAACACCGTTATGTACACAGACTGAGAACTACTTGCCCTGTGAAAACCACCCTGACACAATTACGTAAACACACCAGACGGACGATAGCGTCATCTCAATGTTATTGATTGTGACGTCATAATTCGCCTAGTCGGTCGGGTAATGGTGGCTAGAAATAAATTTGTCTAGTTGAATACTGATTTACGGCCTAATGTGTTTTGTTTCGTTTAATGTTGATTTTTTAAAAATAATGACATTTTGATTAAGGTACACACACAAATAAACAAATCATTTTTTGAAAAGGCAAACAAAAACCGCTGTTTTAATTTATTTTAAACCCCAGGCGAGGAAAGAATATTAGGGTGGGGGGGGGGGGGGGATAAAGGATAGGAGTGGGGACGATCAGTATTTTTAATCAATTCTTTAACAATTTTTTGGTAATTCTTAAAAAGAAAGTAATGCTGATATTACGACACAAAAAAAATTAACATATTTTTGTAATCATGTATTAAAATAGTGTGAAAATTGTCAACATTCTCCTGGTTATAACCCCCCACCTTCTCTTTTTAGACGTGTTAGATTCGAACAACGTAAAAGCGGAAATATTGCTTCTGTAGGGTCTAAAATATAGTAAATGCCACCCCCTGCCCTAACACCCCATCCCCCTGCCATATATGTGTATGTTTAGTTACCATACGAGTTATGCAGTGCCAGCTTCTCGCCTTACTGTGTTAAGCTTTGCCCCATTCAGCTGAAGAAGAGTCGACGTTTTGAATGGACGGAGGTATCAAAGTTAAAAATAGACTGCACAGCGAAATTTGTTTTCAAAAAATTTGTAAGGTTGGGCCTGTGTTCTTTTTTTTAAAATGTCTCAAAATAATTCAACTGTTAATTGGTGTTTTTACAGTTATTCTACCGTTAATGTTTCATTGAATGGAATAATTGTATAGATGAATAGCTGCATTTGACGTCTTACCTTTGGGTTTCCACACCACAGTGCCCCCCCCCCCCCCCCCACCGATGGCATAACCCAGCTTAAACTTAATTTGACTTGACAATCTTTACCAGCTGTTATCGAACCTGATTCATCCAACATGTCATGTCGCCGTAGTGCGTGGAAACATGCGAACGAAATTTTACCCACTACTGTCGAACCAATTTGTTCAAAACTTGATACGAGGACATTGAATTAATTAGACGTTTAATTAGTCATTAAAAGCTAATAATGATTATTATATAAATTACTAATGGGGTTGCGTTTTTAAACACAAGCATTCAATGCGTTCATTTGGTTTACTTTATTCTGAAAATTAAATAATTTGAAATATATATATATATATATATATATATATATATATATATATATATATATATATATATATATATATATATATATATATATATATATAAGATTTTCTATGCACTAAGAAAGAAGAAAATAAAATCAATAGCATAGGATTAGTTTACAAAAAAAAAAGACGGTGGTTAGATGAAAAGATACCGTCTTATTGCTAAGTCCCTTAGGCGGATGTAGCATAGACTAATTTCGTTGAGTCTTTTATTGAAGGTACACGGGCGGACTCGAAGTCATATTTTGACACACATTTTGTCGGCGATTTCATATGCCTAGTCTACGATTCACAGTTTGTTTTGCGAAACGCCAGACAACTAAAAATAATTTATTTATATTTTTGGACGACTTTTGTATTCTGACACTGCCAACTGTCAAAGCTTCTGTCAAAGCTTCTGTCATGCTTCAAAGGTCAGCAACACTGAACACCCGCAGACCTTTAGTAAAACATCTATTTGCTGTTCCCTTTGTTAGACAAGCTTGTTTAACTTGTTGGGTTCCAGAAGAAAGACAACCAAGGGAACAATAACTCTAACAAGTCTATTTAAAGCTCCCCCTCCTCAGAAATATATATAGGTCTACATTGCTTTCTATAACGGCATTAGTCCCCAGCAAGCCAGCCATAATAGCTAGAGAACTAGGCCAAGTCTGAATATGTAAAAATAACTTCAATGCCGCGAGAGATGACATGAAGTATGTCCGTGGCCCTGGAACGTGGATTTCATTCGCTTGTTGACTCGGGTCACTGAGTTTTCCAAGCCCATATTTTCTGTAAGTTGGCCTCGCAGCTGGGAGAAGGTGGGTGGATGGCCCCTGGCCCGGCCGCGGGTACAACATTTGAAATAACTTTCGATGGAATATATATATATATGTAGATGCATATCTAATATATCTTTAGACCTGATCTAATCCTTACCCAGTTTTACGTTATAACACCCGAGTTGCAAGCGCTTGATGAATTTTTTAGGACTGCAGACAACGAAAGGTATGATCATCTATGTTTATTTAATGTCTGTTGTTTTTCCGATTTACAGTTTTCAACGTCTGTGTTGAAAATTGCCTGTTTATACTTTTAAATACGCATTCGATTATTTTTAGTTCGGCTACATTGTAGATATTATATATATATATATATATATATATATATATATATATATATATATATATATATATATATATATATATATATATATATATATATATATATATATATATATGTAATTTTTTACATTTTATTTATTGAACCATGAGAAGAGATAAAACTTAGTTCCAAATAACTAGTAATTGAGTATGCCTCTATGTTTGTGTACATATTTAAGAAAAAACTTGCAGAAATATTTATTCCTATTACCGTACTCGTAATTAAATTATATCGACACTATTTTGCTTAAATTCTGTGTTGCATCTGATATTATGATTCTACCAATCTTAAGTTAATCCAGAAATGAACAGTATTAAAACATTCGTGCTGCTGATGATATATAAAGTAAGTGAAAATTGATGTTAACAGTTTTATCGCAAGATCGACTATGTTGACACATTTGCCTTGTACATAGGCATGGCAACAGAAGTTTAAGAGGCTCAACATTGGGGGGGGGGGGAGGAGGAGGAGGAAGGAAGGAAACACTGTTCATTTTTTAAAAAAAACTTTATCAACCCGCAGCACTTAATTTTGTCTCCGTCAGGCACCAAATGTAACCATGAATGTAGGTAATGAGTACATGAAACAAACCGGTTTCTCGGGCTAGTCAAGGCATAGTGTTATTACAACTTTTTATAGAGCGTGTGTACAGTTCATAGTTCATTGAACAAGAGGAGGGGGAGGGATGGTAAAGTTGAGTGGGGTGTTCTGTGGCTGAATATTGTAGAGAGCGGTGAACATCGTTCTTTGTTGTTGATATTCGCACTAGTAACTATTCCTACAGGTGTTGTTATGCTAGTTTTTAATAGGTGTTTGTAGCAGTAGATTTTTTTTAAACAGGTGTTCATATATAAGTTTTTTAAAGGTGTTGATATAGTAGTTTTTCTAACAGGTGATGATGTCAGTAATCTTCCTGTATGTGTTGATAACAACGTTTTGCTTCAACTAATGTTGATACGAGTAAAGGATATCCAATTGTTGTTTTTTAGTATTCCGGAGTTTCGTTAGCACAAATAAGCGATTAGTCTAATCCAGTTCTTAATTGTTTATGGTTGTTAGATGATAGTTTTGTGCCAAGTTATTATACAAATTAGAGACCCATCAATTATTCAACTAATATTTTTAATGTTCTTAAATTATAATTTGTAGGAGGTTCAGTTTTTCTTAAGAAATGTAACTGTAACGATCTTTTATTTCAAGACTAAATGTAAGGAATGTATCAGTGTTATATTTGCTTTCATTACCAGGCTAGTTCCAGAAAATACACGTATCCAATGACGTTAACAGTTAATTGACCAATTAACTGTCAGGCTGACCTGACCTAAGCTTGAGATATACCTGTGTTTTCTACCTGGTTGGGCGTGCACGTGTGTGTGAGTAGTGATTCTGAGATCTCACGGAACTTAAAACTGCTGGAACTTTATTCCAACTTCCGGTCGTCTCATGGCATCGACTCTCGACGAATTATCGTCGTCGTCGTCAGCAGGCTCGGAGGCTTCTAGAAGACAGGCGGGTCGACCCCACGGCAGTACCTACACTAATTCACACCTCAGGTAGGTACACCTAGTCCCGTGTCACCACATGCATACACTGTTACTGTGTCACCACTTGTCTACACTGTTACTGTGTCACCACATGCCCACACTGTGACTGTGTCACCACATGCCTACACTGTGACTGTGTCACCACATGCCCACACTGTGACTGTGTCACCACATGCCCACACTGTGACTGTGTCACCACATGCCCACACTGTGACTGTGTCACCACATGCCCACACTGTGACTGTGTCACCACATACCCACCCTGTTACTGTCTCACCACATACCCACCCTGTTACTGTGTCACCACATACCCACCCTGTTACTGTCTCACCACATCCCCACCCTGTTACTGTCTCACCACATACCCACCCTGTTACTGTGTCACCACATACCCACACTGTTACTGTGTCACCACATACCCACCCTGTTACTGTGTCACCACATGCCCACCCTGTTACTGTGTCACCACATACCACCTTGTTACTGTGTCACCACATACCCACCCTGTTACTGTGTCACCACATGCCCACCCTGTTACTGCCTCACCACATACCACCCTGTTACTGTGTCACCACATACCCACACTGTTACTGTGTCACCACATACCCACCTTGTTACTGTGTCACCACATACCACCCTGTTACTGTGTCACCACATACCACCCTGTTACTGCCTCACCACATACCACCCTGTTACTGTGTCACCACACGTCTACCCTGTTACTGTGTCACCACATACCCACCCTGTTACTGTATCACCATTTGCATACCCTATAACTGTATCACCACATGTCCACCCTGTAACCATATGCACACACCATATGCCAACGCTGATCCTGTGTCACCATATATCCACCCTGTCACCAAATTCCCACTTAGTGTCACCACATACCCACCCTGTTACTCACCACATGCCCACACCATATCCATATTGTCTACTCTATCGTTGTGTCACAATTTTGATTTCCCCAGGTTTGTTTGCTGATCTTTTAAATCCAATTCGAAAATAAAAATGTAAATATTAAATTGTCATTAAAATCATGATTATACTTGGCAAAAGATACACCCATGGTTACTTTAGCAGATAATCTAAGGGGACGCAACTATCGATGTGTTATTTTAAAGGGAGATAAAAAAATAATTATTAAATTAAAATATTTCAATTATTTTCATTGAGTGACGATCTGCAATAATACAAAAAAAAATCCCAATTAGTGCCTTTCACAGCTGTTTGGTTTAGTAATGTCTTGCACGAGTAAATGTTTATTTATTTATTTATTTATTTT